AGCCCAATTATATAGCACACCAAGTTTAAAAATGAAATCACAAATCTCAACAAACTTAATTATATATTCTCACCTATCTCTATAGGTTCTGACCCAGGCTTAGTAGAACCAAGAAAGAGACTCCTTGTCCCGAAAAACTCCTCTTTATTTAGTTGCTGTGGATTCATGGCATTCACACACAGAAAAGTCCCGGCAATAATCCTTCCAAGGGTTAAGTGCAAGAACAGACCTTATCAGTCCATGGATAGGACTGGCCAGGCTTCCAGTCGCAAAGCTGTAAATTAATTCCTGCAAGGAGTCTCTGTGAGGCAGAACCACAATAAGCAAATCTTCCTAAAGAAATATGAAATATTGTCTCCTGCAACCACCACTACCCTTTTGCTCTATTTATTCCCCAGGAAGGGAACATTCAGTGTCCACGTGTGCCTTCTGAGTCGGCCCCTATTTCTTGTTGTTCTCCTCTCCTGATAGCTCTGTGCATACACACACCTGGAACAGGCTGCAGCTGTTCTTCTTCCCCACTTATCTCTGACTCAGAAGGCAGCTGGGAAATGTCGGACGACCCTGGCCCCATATCTGCTTCCAATGCAGAGTCTTTCCCAGACTCCAGGACTGGCCTAAGTTTCTCCCCAACTTCCTCATTGTCCGATTCTGCCAAGTCTGTTTCGCTGGCAGCTGGCGGGCCACAAACAGTGATCTCTGGCTTCCATTCATTTACCTTCTTTAAAAAGGGGCTCAATAATAATTCCAAGCCTATATTCAGAAGTTGGGAAAAACAAATTACAGGTCTAAATGTTATAATGGAGAGGAAAAAGAATAAGACAAACATTTGCAATTTATAGTAAAGTTAAGTTTTGTGTCTAAAGTTTGTATTTAATAAGTTCTGCCGTAAGCCTGGAAAACTGTTCTTTTTAGTTCCCAGTGCTAACTTGGACATATTCTTGGGTTTGCTTTCTTCCAGTACAATGTGCTCTAAATCGCCCAGCCTTTTTTGCAGAAAGACTTTATCATGCCATGAAAGGAGCTGGCACAGATGATTCTACCTTGGTTAGAATTATTGTAACTCGTAGTGAGGTAAGAATCCTTACTTTCTCATATAGCAATGTGTCTTGCTGTTGCACAATGGATATAAAAAATCTACACACCCGTTAAAAATGCCAGATTCTTGAGATGTAAAATAAATCAGATCATGATAAGTCACTTAAGAGGTTTTTATACCTTTAATATGACATATAAGCTGTTCAATTCAATTTAAAAACAAACTGACATCTTTTGGGAGGAAAAATAACAACAAAAACTAGAATAATGTAAGAATTGCCCTTAACTCCATACAGGTAATCCTTGACTTAACGACCATAATTGACCCCCAAATTTCTGTTGTTAAGCAAAACAGCTAAGTGAATTTTGCCCCATTTTCGTGCTACAGTTGTTAACTGAATCACTGCAGTTGTTAAGTTAGTTATTCAATGAATCTGGCTTCTCCATTGACTTTGTCAGAAGGTTGCAAAAGGTGATCACATGAACCTAGAACACTGCAACAGTCATAAATATGAATCAGTTGCCAAGCATCTGAATCACATGTCCATGGGGATGCTGTAACAGTCATATGTGTGAAAAATGGTCATGTCGCTTTTTTCGCTGCCACTGTAGCAGTTATTAAATGAAGTTGAGGATAAACTGTATTTTCCTATTGTTATTATTTATTGTCATGAGAAATTCTTTTTATATATTTTTAATATATAAAAATTGGGGCCATGGTGGCTCACATGATAAGACAGGTCGGCAGCTCAAGAAAGGAGCCTCCCCCAGTTGCCTACCAGCGTTCAGGCATCCCACAAGTAAAGATAACACCGCCTGAAAAAATTCCTTTCACAGAGGCAGCCAGCTGCCTCGGTGATCCCTGGCTAACACATGCCATATACTAAATAATAAATAATTATAAAGGAATTTCTCATGACAGCAAAAAAGTCAGTTGAAAAGTTCATAGTAATGAGCATTGGCGCTTTAGAAAGTAGCTGTTGCCTGTAAGCACCTTGGCTTTTTAAATTAAAGTAATTAAAGTAGGTAATGCTACTTGATCCAGAAGATTTTTTCTTGACTCACTGAAAATATAAGTAAAAGGAATGTGCCAATCCCATTGCTCACAATGACATGATATAAAGTGATATAAACTGGGACATCTTTTAAAATAAAAGTATTAATAAGAGTATAATCCCTCTTTTCATTTAAATTAACCAAATATAACAACAAAAATGAAAAAGAATATGCAAAATTATAGAAAAAAATCTTTAAAACATACAAAATGTATTTTATAGACATACATATATCAATAATTTGAAGACATTATTTATTACAGTCATTGGTGGCTGATTTATATTATTTATTTATTTGATTTATATTGCCGTCTCAAGGCGACTCAAGGCGGCTTACACAATGTAAAATCATATTTAAAACAAAAAATAAAAACAAAAACAATAAGAACTAACAAAAAGAATCAAATAAATTAGTAAAGTACAATAGAACAAAATTTGAGAAAACAAACAAAACAACTCCCACCCCCACCCCGACATATTAATTCTGCAAACCATTGAAATACTGTAGTGGAAGGCGTGGTTTGGCATTTCTAATGCTGAAGAATGCTTTTGAGTGTGCATGTTGTTCTCTGTCCAAAGATCAGCTCTCATGTGACTGAGATTAGCATATGTATAGGTAGTCCTCGAGTTACAAATATAATGGAGCCGTTCAGGCCTATGCGGGCCTCCTGCAATGAAGCTATTTCAGCCTGCAACGTGCCAGGTGAGGCCTCTGGAGGCCTGAACAGAGTTTCTGAGGGGCAGATCCATCCTTTGGAAGCTCCATTTTGGCCGGCAATATTCAGGACGAATGTTGCAGAGCCTCTGCAGTTGTTCATAAGGACGAACAAGTGCCGTGGTGTTGCAAGATTCGTAGTTTTGGGACTTGTTTCCAAACACTAGGGAGCACTTTGAATGTGCGCTAAGGGAATGCTTGTAACCTGGGGATTACTGTAGTGTCCTTCCTTTAAACCTGAATTTCTTTAAATTTCTTCCATGTTATATTTTTATTCTATTTCTTTTGGGACAGATTGATCTGGTACAGATAAAACAGCTGTTCACACAGATGTACCACAAGACTTTGGCCACCATGATTTCAAGTGACACAAGCGGGGATTACAGACAGTTGCTCTTGGCCATCGTGGGTCAGTAGGAAGCACGCTCAGAAAGTAAAACAAGAGCTGCAAACAGCCAACTGTCACTACCAGCTATCAAGAGTGTACAAAAATATAAATTATCCTAGACAATTAAGTATACATTGATTGATCAGGATCTTTTGTTTTTCACATACAATTGCCTTAATTTAGCACATCATGTACTTTATAAACCTGCTACCTGAAATGTGTCTGTTCTGTTATTGTCACAAAGGCTGTTACTTGTTTTGTACTCCTGTGTGCATTGCATAGTGTTGTTTACTGTGAGAAAGGACACGATGATGGGTATATAGAGCTACACTTAGACGATGTAAGCATGTCCAGTTTTTAAAACGCTCCATAAATTTTGAAATTATGAAATTCTGTATCTTTATTATGTCTTGTAAAAACCAAAACAGAGTCCATTTCCCATGAAAAGCCGTTTGTTTTTGTAATTAATTCCAAAATCATATTGTAAAAGTTTCAATATTCCAATTTTGTTTAGACCCTTAGTCAATTTATAGCTTTCTAAGATTAAATATTGTTTAGCTTTTTGCAGTTTATTTCAGATTCTTTAAATTCTAAGCTTATGATTAAATTTGTCTTTCATTTTGGATTGAAAGCAGATTGATCTTACGTTTTCCAATTTGTCTTTCCAAGTGTCTCTAAGAGCTTAGAAATAATAATCAGTTTATTCCTGAAAGTGATTAGAGAGTAATGTTTGCTAATTTAGCATTTGTCAAGATTGAACCACTTTGCTTCTTTCAAATCTTAATGCTTTTCAACTTGCCAATGGACTAGGGGGATGGAAGATGGAAATGGAATGTGGCGAATGTATGCAGAGATCGTGGGAGCATGAAAGCCATCAAGATCACCGCTGCAGGTGCTTGAGAAAGAGATGGACTGTTTCCATAAGAAAAGAATGTCTCTTAATTGGACCCGGGGTAGAGAGAAGGGGAAATTATTGTTTAACTGGACAATCATTTGCATGGGAAAACCAGAGCTGGTTTTGTTTCTTTAGTACCAATATGGCGTATCCAATAAAGTTTTACTTTTAGGTATTCAAATCTCCTGAGAGTGTTTCCTTCTTTTGGGTTTGCTACTTGAATAGTTGACATTAAACCACTTTAACTTAATGCAGCCTACTCGGATGCTTCCAAGAGAATGTAACCTAACGATGTCTGGGATGGAACGAAAAGCTGAAGCCACAGCAAAACCTGGATATCAGCACCATGGCATGATCTGTTTTTAACAAACCCATGTTGGTTTTTGGTTATTACTTTGTTTGCTTCTAGGTGTTCGCTGATTCGTTGCTTGATTATCTTTTCCAGTATCTTCCCTGGTATTGAGGTCAGGCTGATAGGTCTGTACTTTCCTGGATCTATTTTTTTTCCTCTTTTGAAGACGGGAACTACATCAGCTCTTTTCCAGTCCTCTGGCAGTTCCCCAGTGCTCCAGGATCTTTGAAAGAACTATATGGCAATGTCATTTTCCCCCTTTAATATTGACCCAAATGCATCAGGATAATTTTCATCATTGTTGTGCTCTATTTCTGTAGAGATGTAGTTATTTCTTATATATAAGAAACTCCACTTCCTCTTTTATTTGGTCTATTTCTTTTAAATAATTTAGCTGTATGAATCTAGCTGTGTGAACCATTTGTGGGTTTCACCCCACCAAGTTTCCATAATGCAACAATATCATATCTGCCCTCATTTACTTGGATTTCTAATTCACTCTGTTTATTCCTCATATTGCCCAAAGAGATGGAGTTGCTCAGGTACTTCATGGATAGGGGCTTCAACCAACTGGCAAAATCTAGGATGGCAGCTCTAGTGCTCTTCAAAAAAAAAGTGAGATGATTTTTTTTGATATTATACATGGATTTTTGGGGCTCAACGGATTACATCCACAGCTGAGCATCCTTTCAGCTTTGGCCCAGTCGCTTCATTCTTTCTGGTGCTACTAGCCCTCTGCTCTTTCCCAGTAGCATATGGGACACCTTCCGACCTGAGGGGCCCATCTTCCAGTGTCATATTTTTTTGCCTTTTGGTACTGTCCATGGGCTATTCATGGCAAAGATACTGGAGTGGGTGGCCATTTTCTTCTCCAGTGGATCACGTTTTGTCAGAGCTCTCTGCTATGACCTGTCTGTCATTTTGAGCTGTCGCTTTCCTGACACACCTACAATTATACTCTATGTTCCTTTCAGTTAAGCAAAGACAATCTTAAAAAGAATGAAAAACAGGATGAGGACACTAACTTCTTTAACAGGGCCTTTAAATTGTCTGCATCATTCACAATCTACTGTAAATCATAATCTTATAAAACACATAAATTGCCTTACTTTAGCTAGATTCACAAAATAAAAGTCAACCCATAAAATATTTAATACCACAAAGAGAAAAAAATGAGCAATGAAAGAAATACTCCAATTTGGGAAACACATTTCTGAAAATAAGAAAGCAATTAATAATCATTCAATAAACATAACTATTTCATTTATTTCTTTGAAAAACTTACAAAGGCAAGTATGTCAGACCCTAAAATAGTTACAGTGATTCTGTGTTTATTAAACGTGCTACTTCAAATCCTAGTAGTCTACTTTGAAAAAAATGAAAAATGGGCTGGTGCCATATCTTCTTACCGCTCCCACCCTAGGAGTCCCATATATAGGAGTCCTCTGTGCCTGTGTCCTATTACATTATGAACATGGCCAATTCTTAGAAAGGTCTGAAATCTTCCCCCCAGCATATAATGGAGCAGAAGAACATAACACTGAATTGAAAATTGGCACATGGGCTTTCTAGTGCTACTTAACATGATACATAAATTCACCAAATACAGCCTATAGAAAACATCAAGAGGATTTAATTTTAATCCAAATGCAAATCTTGCCCTCTGTTCTACTGCAACTGAGCATTTCTTATAGCAAAAGGTTAGGAATGGAATTGCTGAAAAGGTTGTTATAAAACAGCAATACATACAAAGAAATAAAGTGCAGTTAGTTTTCGGCAATCATAACTATTTTAAAGACAAAACTGGCAACAACTAGTTGAAAAAAAAATCTCACTACCTTATTATCAATTGCATTTCAGTATCTTCAGTTCAGACAAGAGCCCCTTTCAAAAGTAGTAGCCCAACAGAAGGGTGCCATCTCAGCAGTCATAGCTGTGCATGGACGCAACTGCTGCACGACCCAGGATTTTACAGGGCATTTCCAGAGTGGACAAAGAAGCTTCTTATGGCCGGCTGTGGAGTAAAGGTGTGCTGTCGCCAGTCTTCATCCGGGGGCATATCGACACGCTTTGGGCCTCGGACCTTGGCTTGCTGGGAAATCAGAAAGCAACTCTGAAAGCCTTTGTGCCTTGAAGCCCCACGTGAGACTGTCCCATAACTCCTGCCAGGAGACTGCCGCCAGCCTAGAGCACCAAGAGCCAACGGCCATTGGGGCAGAGACTCTTGTGAGTCCTCGCTCATCTGGATGGGAGATTCCCCGTGTGCTGCTTCACTGTCTGATGCTGCTGCTAGCTCTTGGCCAGCATGACTTCTCTGTAGCCAGTGGTTGGAAGCATTTGATGTTCCACTGTCTAAAAATATATTCAAAGATGTTTGCCTTTGTGAGGAGTGGTCCTGTTTGGTAATGGGGTTCCCATAATTCAGTGGCATGCATGATTTATCTTCTGTGTGGAAAGCTGCATTCCTGTCTGGCACAGTTAGACACTTTGGGATATTATTCTGATTTCCTGAAAAATTAACAAATTGAAAAATATTATTTTACCTATCTTTAGTTGAAGAGCAAAAAAAAAAAAAACATACCAGGAAAGGAGTTTGAGTCTTTGTATATTTAATACCAATATTTAATACCAATCCTAAACAAGAAATTAATTCTACACTACTCATAACAGAAGAACTACAGCTGACCAAATCATTTGCTAATGAAAGCCTGGAATAGCTCAGCAGGAAAAATTCCTCAGCAGGAAATATAAGCTGCAATGCTTCATTCTTGAATGTAATTAACAGCTTCTACAGTCTGTGCCAATCAGTATTGAACTTTTTCTCGAGGATCTAGGAATGTGATGGTGAACCTATGGCATGCATGCCACAGGTGACACGCAGAGCCATTTGTGCTGACACGCGAGCTGCAGGCAAACTTACCTCACTGTGCATGCACGCGCCTTACAGCTGATTTTTCGGCTGGTTTGAGGCCTATTTTGGCCTCCCAGAGGCTTGAAAAAAGGCTCTGCAGGCTTTGCAGGCCAAATAATAGGCCCATTTTATCACTTCTTGTAATACTGGAAGTGACGAAACAGGCCTATTATTTGTCCTGAAAAGCCTGCAGAGGCTTTTTTCAAGCCTCTGGGAGGCCGAAAAGAGCATCAAACTGGCCGAAAATCAGCTGTGAGGCGCAGTGCAGGGGGGGGAGATTGCGTGCGCATGCTCGGGGTGTGTGCACATTGCCTTCTAAGTGCTGGCACACAAGCGCAAGTGCGAGCACAATTTTTGGCACAGGAGCCCAAAAAGATTAGCCACCACTGATCTAGGAGCTTTAGTGTCCCACCCTTGGCGACGCCTCCTTTGCCTCCAGCCTCCCTCATCAGCCCATTTACAGCCAGCTTTCCTCCTCTACTGGGCCTCCTCCGGCTATTCTCCCCAGCCAATGGGCCCCTGGCCATCCACCCTGTCCCATTCGCCAAGATACTTTGGTCAATGCCAGACAACTGGCATGCGATGGGCGATCGCAGGTGCTTTGAGCTGTGGGGGGATGCTGCAGTGGTTTGCGGCTTCTGGTATTGTGGCGAACATGGCTTCTGGTGTGTGTGGGGGGGGGGGGGGCATGGAAACAGAACTGCCCTTTCGGCATCAGGTGTACAGTCACCTGATGTAAAAGCAACGGAGGGGAGAGGGAACAAAAAGGGAAGGCCCCGGCAGAGCTGGGAACAGGCAGGCAGTGGTGGGCAGACGCTTCCCCTTTTGACTCCTGCCTGATGGGCCTCTTCATGGCTCTCAGCTCACCTCTCCCAGACCCGTGCATGCATTTGTTTGTGCGTGTGCACGCACACATGGGGGTCTCAATCCTTGCAGCCCCATGCCCCCAACACAGACCATATGTGATGGCAGGCTGCAAACTAGTGAAAGCTCTCTTTTTTGGACTGCTTGTTTCTTTTTCTCACCTATTCATTGGTGTGTGTTCAAGGGACTGTGGACTGCACATTCCCCTAACCTGATCTCATCATGCCCTGTCCCCCCAGCCCCTTTAAGAAGCTCCCATCCCAGCTTCTCTTATCTCTCCTATTCTTTTCCTCACCAATGTCAAAGGGAGAGATAAGAGACTCCCCTGCATGTGCGTGCATGTGTGCGCGCACACGCGTGTGTACAAGTGAGCAGAGGCTTTCCATTTTGACCCCTCCCCGTCATTGCCTCTGTTGTCTCCCTCCTTGCAGCCCCATTGTGACATTTGTCTTTACTCCTGACGTACCCCTGACGTACTGCTTGCAGGTCTCCCATAAAAAGCAAGCCTGGAGTAGGAGCATTTGAAGGAAACCTGCCTCTTTGTGTACAGGCAGTCCCATTAAATGAACTATCATTTGGTTAATGACTGCTCAAAATTATAACAGCATTAAAAAAAAGTGACTTACTGGTGGTTGCACTCATAACTGTTACAGCATCCCCTGGTCATGTGATCAAAATTTGGGTGCTTGGCAATTGACATGTATGGTTGCCACTTGCGACCTTTCCAGCCAGCTTTTGACTAGCAAAGTCAATGGGGGAAACTGGATTCACTTAACAATGGCAGTGATTTACTTAACCATGACAAATTGGGGTCAACTACCTTGCTTAGCAGTAAAAATTCTGGTCTCAATTGTGATAATAACCTGTACAGATAATCCCTGGGTTATGAGCATTCCCTTAGTGAACATTCAAAGTTACACAATAAGCACCCTCTAGTGTTTACAAACAAGTCCCGAAACTACGAATGTTGCAGCACCACGGCAGTTGTTCGCCCTTATGAATGACCATAGAGGCTCTGCAACATTCGCCCTCCTTCCCCCATGGCACTTGGCCCATGGCCTTCACTAGAGAGCCTTCACTTTCTTGGCTAGTTTTGGCTCTTCAAGCCTTCGGTGAGAGAATGGAGCCCTAAAGTATCACAAGATCACATGGATCTCATGCTACTGATCTCTCGTGATTTCACTGTACTTTAAGCCTCTGTTCTCTGCAAAGGGAGGCCTGGAAGAGATCTGCAGCAAAAGGCTTTGCAAATGGAGGGAAGATCTGAAATACTGAAGCCTTTTGCCATCTTTGCAAAAAGCCTTTGCTGCCAAGAATGAGTCTGAAGCAGGTGGTCTGTTCCATTGCTGGACACACACACACACACCCCCGCCTTCCCTTGCAACTGTCTCCAAGAGACAGTTTTGGTGGCCATCCTTGAAGAAAGACATTGAAAGCTATGTGGCCAGCTGTCCAAGTTGTGCAGCGGCAAAGAGACCACCAGGGAAGCCCACAGAGCTTTTACAGACTGTAGCCAGGCCCAGGGACCGTGGAAAGAAATATTTATGAACTTTATTGTGGAACTGCCTGAAAGTAGAGGGAACGCTGTTATTTGGTCTGATCTTTTTTTAAAACAGGTGCACTTTGTACCCTGTTCTAAGACTCCCTCCGCAAAGATGTTAGCTAAACTTTTTGTACAACACGTGTATAGGTTGCATGGTGCACCTGAGCACATTATTTCAGAAAGAAGTGTGCAATTTACATCACAGTTTTGGCGGGAATTTTTGAAACTGTTGGAACTGCCCAGGGCTTAAGCTCCTCCCATCTAACTAACAGTGTGTGTGAGAGAACTAACCCAATCCTGGAACAGTTCCTCAGGTGCTACCAATAGGACAATTGGGCTGACCTTTTGCCTTTTGCATATAACAATTCTGTGCATTGTAGCATAGGGATCCCCCCATTTAAGGGGTCTCCAGTCAGGATTTTGTGCCAAAGCTATCACCACCTCCAAACGAATGGGGTGAGTGTGTGAAGATACCAATTCTGTATTGGAACACTATCTCAAGTTCCATTGATGCTGAGTGTGATTGGTCAGCCAGTTACAAATCTATCTGGTCTTGGTGCTGTCTATCCCACACTGTTTTATCCTACCAAGGAGTTTGTGGTCTACTTTATCAAGTCCCTTACAGAAGTCCAAGTAAAGTATACAGCATTTCCCTGATCAATACAGCAATTTAGTTACTGTATTGCAGAAGCCAATAAGGTTTGTCTGTCATGATCAAACAAACCCATGCTCACTTCTAGTAATTGACTTGTTCATTTGTAGTACTCACAAATGTACTACTTGATTATTGTTTTCCAGGATCTCTCTAGGTATTAATTCTTTATCTACTTACCAGTAGTGGGATTCAAAAATTTTTACTACTGGTTCTGTGGGCGTGGCTTGGGTGTGGCATGGTGTGGCTTGGTGGGCAAAGATACTGTAAAATCTCCATTCCCGCCCCACTCCTGGGGGAAGGTTTCTGCAAAATCTTATTCCCTCCCCACCCCACTAATCTGCTTTCCAGCTCTGTTCTCCTGTGCAGGGCAACAAAAGATGACCCAGCCAATCAGCTGGGGACTCAGGAGGCAGAGAATAGATGGGGGCGGGGCCAATTAGAGGTGGTATTTACCGATTGTCCAACTACTCAAAACTACAGGTTCTCCAGAACTGGTCAGAACCTGCTGAATACCACCTCTACTTTCCAATTTTATATTTCTATATTAATATTTTTTCTCTTTTAGTATTTCTAAAAATGGTTAGAAATAGATTTTTTTAAAAGCCCAGTCATTTACCTGATTGTCTTTGCATCTTGCCCACCATACTAATCACTGGAGCATCATGGGAGAAATGCTGCAGCTCAGGTGAAGAGAGTTGAGGATAGAAGGGGAGCACAGGAGGCAAATTGGGAGGGAAGGAAAGAGAAGTAGTGCTGGAAGAATAGGACCTGGCTTCTACTGGTAGTTTCCTCTCATTGGACGCTTCCTTTTAAAACAAGGAAAAAGAGAAATAAATAAATACCAAAATTGGGATCAACAAGGGCAAACAGGTGGCCAGTAAAAGTTACTAGAATATGATGAGAAAAAAATGCACTTACAATATCACATTCCCCAGAACTATTGTAGCAGAAATAATACATATACAGTTTCAGCACCCATGGTGATGCAGTGGTTAGAATGCAGTACTGCAGGCTAACTCACTACTCATTCTAGGAGTTTGATTCGGAGCAGCTCAGGGTTTACTCAGCCTTCCATCCTTCCGAGGTTGGTAAAATGAGGCCCCAAATTTTTCTGGGGAGAGGAGGACAATATGCTGACTCTGTAAAACCCTCAAAAGTCAAACTTTTGAGCTTTAGTCTAAGTACTATTGCTATTTCTCCCTCCTCTCGGGTGCTGCTGCTGCTGTTGCTACAGTCTAATAGCATGCCCACAAGCCATTTGCTGCTAACTTCCCAGTGCATTTCCTTTCTCCTTTCCCTCAGCTGCTGTAGCACGTCCCTAATGTCCCCATTCCCCACTCCTCCATCTTCTACTGTCTTCTTTTTCCACTCTGCCTTGCTCCCTCTCCTCAGCTGTTGCTGCCACCACCATGAATAGGATCCAATGTTGAATAGGACCCAATGTTCTAGTCTGTCAAGGACCTTCTGAATCTTGAGTCTATCATCTAAAGTGTTAGCAATTCATGACTGACATGGCCTAGTAAACTCCTCAGTTCTGGCCTTTTCCAACTATTCCCTGAACCACTCCTGCTTGGAACAGCCACATTTTGGTTGATACCTGGAACAGAACAGTCCCAACCAGAACATTTGAAGCACCTCCATGCATCTTTGAAAACATACCATTGTTTTCAATTTTCATTCTGTTGTGGTCATTTTTCTCTTCATGGTTGTAGCATCTTAGTGTTATGACAAATGGAGAGACCGATTCCTCAAAGATTCTAAATGGTAATGTACAGACTGAGAAATATCCATTCTTCAGGTTCAACTAGCTCATATTTTAACTTCTAGGAAGATATGTCAATCACTAATTACTATTTTTTTTTCCATTGGAGTTTCTTTAGAAATTGATCCATTTCTTTTCAACTCTAAACTCAGTAATGTGTATTTAAGAATCAGCTGACTGAAGAGTGTAAAAAAATAAGCATTCCATAATTTGAAGAGAGAAGCAGTGAATATTCAGAAAAAAAAAAGAAGCAGCAGAAAAATGTGAAAAGATATTAAATTACAGCTTTTTTCAAGAAACAATATTTTGGACTTTATGGACCTTTATTACTTTTGTATTGAAAAGGAGCAAATGAACTGACAACTGGTGGTGCCTTTACTGATGTTACTTTACTGAGTACTAAGTTAATAGTAATAAAAACAATAGTTTTCTCCACAGGTGCTAGTAAAATGTAGAGATTACACAGAAAGAGAAGGAGGAAAACACAAAGGGAATGTACTAGAAAATAAGTCAGTGGTTTAGATTTAGAACATCCTGGCACTAGAAATGCAAAATTAAATAAAGGGCCTTTGAAACTTAATTATCATACCTGCAAATGGTACAGCAACAGGAAAGTATTTCCATAAAATGTGATAAGATTACAGGATGAACATAGAACAAGGTATTCTTCCTGTAAAACTTTTAGCAATCACACTAAACCAATACAATGCAGCAGTTCAAATAATTTCCTTTTCAACCATTTTACTTACAAAATTCTGAGAAGAAGCAAGTTTCTCTTCTCTGCTTGTGATGGCTGTCCCACTGAGACTGCGTGCAATGCGACGGAAGTTCTCTGGACTGTAGGTTTCCTCTTCTGGCTCCTGGCCAGTACATGGCACCTGTATTCAGAAAGAGAACTCCGTGGTAAATGAAGGTACAGAATCACAGCAGTCAGGTATTCCTACACCATCATGGACTGAGTTCATTTCAGGTTTTTATTAATTACCAGGTTGAATCTGCTTTGATAGTTATGAGCTGTGTAGAATTGTTGAGATGGTGGTATACAATTATAAAAATAAATACAATTATTTCTTAGGCTAAAGTTGTTTTATTCATCAAACTTGTTAAACAGGATTCTTCATCAGAAGGAAAGGAAGAACTGAAGGGAAAGAATAACAGAGTTGGAAGAGGTCTTGCTCAAACAGGAAATTCTATACCAGGGGTGTCAAACATGGTATCATCATGTGACATATCACAACTTTTCCCCCCTTTGCTAAACTGGGCATGGCCGTGGCCAGCGAGTTTGACACCCCTGCTCTATACCATTTCTGACAAGTGGTTATCCAGGCTCTTCTTAAAGGCCTCCAGTGATGGAGCACCACAATTTCTGAAGGCAAGTTTTCCCACTGGTTGATTGGTCTCATTGTCAAGAAATTTCTCCTTAGTTTTAGGTTGAATTTCTCCTTAATTTTCATCCATTGTTTCTTGTCCTGCCTTCAGGTGTTTTGGAAAAGAGACTCTTTGGCGTTCTCAAATATTGGAACACTGCTGGCCGCCATACAGCCGGAAACAGTTAACTTAAGAAGGGTGCAGGAGCAGAGTTAGTGATGGTGTCTGGAACTCATAATTATATTTAAAGTGGCAGCAACTTAATTAGTAACGAGCAAAATGCTATAACTCTAAAAATGGAAGGAAGGAAGTAAAGGAAGAAAATAATAAATTTGTTAAAAATATAGAAAAGTGGATTTTTAGATTGGACAGACTTTGGACAGGCATTTTTAAAAAATGCTGAAATCTATATAAAAATGAACATAATATTCATTTTTGGATATATTTGGAATATATCAGTGAAGTCTGATATATTCTTTGCAAGACAAAATCTTTGCAAGACAAAGTGGAAATTGATTTAAGAGCGCCACCTGCGCCAAAAGAAGAAACAACAGATTTCCAAAGTTTTAATGACCTGGTTTATGGAGAACTAAAAGTGGGAAATAAGAGAATTTTATTATTAAAAGACCCCTGAAAACTACAATATTAGACTTGAATAATAGATTGATTTGTGAAGATTTCAACCTTGGACCATTTAAACGAACAGATTGATTGATTAATTTTGGGACATAAAATATTAGACTTGAATAATAGATTGATTTGTGAAGATTTCAACCTTGGACCATTTAAACGAACAGATTGATTGATTAATTTTGGGACATAAAAATTCCTGGACATTGGATATTGGATTTTTAGTTTGAAAAGTGGCTTTGGTTTAGATAAAGGATGGTTGGACAATTGGCCAGAATGAAATAAAACAAACAAAAACAAAAATGAGTGGAATTTTCAACGAAATTGTGTTGGAAATCCAGGAAATAAAAGATACTTTGATAAGATATGAGGACATTTTGAATAAAATACAAAGCATGGACGCAGAGCTGGAAATTGAGACACAAGACAGGTCCTGGAGAGGAGGAAGAGGAGGAGCCATCTGAAAGAGCAATTGGAGACAAAAAAGAAATACAAATGATAATGATTGCTGTAAAGCAGGGGTCTTCAAACTTGACAACTTTAAGACTTGTGGACTCCCAGATTTCCTCCTCCAGGCATGTTAACGCAGGAATTCTGGGAGTTGAAGTCCACAAGTCTTAAACTTGCCACGTTTAAAGACCCTTGCTGTAAATCAAGGGAAAGGTACTTATAAGGGAAATTAAACAGGAATTGGAATTGCAAAGAGAATTTTTGCAGAGAAAGATAGGGGTGAGAGTAGATAATGAGACAATGGAATATAATAGAGAGGGAAGAAATGTTTAAGAGGAAGGGTCAAGTAGATAGAGATGAAAATCTAAAAGAGGAATATGGAAGACAAGCTAAGAAGCGAAAAATTAAGGCTTTAATGTGAGTAAGAGATGATAGTTTTAAAAAAAGGGAGATTCCATATAAAAATGTACCCAGCTAGAGTGGACCGTGAAGGGAGCATTTCATAAACTCAAACAGCTATTCGCAGAGGAACTGGTCCTAAAGCACCCAATCCCCAAGAAGGTTCAGGCAGATGACAGCAATGTAGCCAGAAGGGCAGTCTTCCTCCAGAAAAACAAGGAGGGGAACCTCCAACCATGTGCCTACACTTCTAGAAAACTCACCGACACTGAATGAAGGTGGGCAGAAAGAGGCTTCTGCAGTCCATTGGGCACTATTAACCTGGCGGCACTTCCTAAAAGGGAGCCAAGTACTGTTTGATGTAATGGACTGATCATAAAAATCTGGAGGCCCTTAGGACCCCATGGAAGCTGTCTCCCAAACAAGTTCAATGAGCGCAGTATTTTAACTGATTCAACTTCACACTGAAATACATCCCAGGAGGAAAAAACTTCCTAGCAGATTGCCTTGTCCCAAATGCCCCAGTACAAGAGTAAGTGTGAAGTCAATGCCATCATTGCCATCACCCAGAAGGCAGCACAAGTCACTACGAGGCAACAAACTTGGAGGTGATCGAACAAGCCAGGGGAAGAGCTAACTCAAAAGCTCAGAGCCAAGCTGCAAACCAACCTCTGATTCCTGCAACCAACAACTCTTAATCTCTCAATACGGATTGGCATCAAAAGGTCCAAAACTTGGACCCCTCCGAGTCCAAGTTCTGCAAAGAAATCATGATTCCAAGCAAGTCAGCCACTCTGGATTTGCGGCATCTGGTGCAAAGCCAATTTTGGTGACCAGCAATGAAAAAAGACATTGAAAGCTATGTGAAAAGCGGTGTGATATGTGCAACGATGATAAAAAGACCTGGAAAACCCCCAGGACTGTTACAAGAAGTGGCCCTATCTAAATAATTCACTGTTATAATGGATTCTAATAAATATCTCAAGGTAGAAAGATGCATTTTATGTTGTAATCAGTTGCAATAGTAAGCTATAGCAATCTATCATAAACTTAAAATAAAAACACGACAGGATTACATATTCTGCTACTGTATCTAAGATCTTACTAGTAATAATCTCTTACATTAACTGTAAACTGTAAACACTCTATCTGAAATGTTTATTATCTAAACATTATGTTTAATGTTAACATTTGTAAAAATATTTCTACTTTATTACCTTACATTTGTTCCATCTGTACAAGTAGCATTCCCATAACCCAGTTCCCATTCTAGCATATCCTTACATGTATCTTAGGATCTGGAGAACTCATATTTCCACAGATGTTGTTTTCAGGTTCTGCTGTTCTTGACAGACCCCTATACATCTTTTTTGTAGGCAAGTTTGCTAATACAGGGGAGAAGAGGAAGGAAAAAATAAAGAAGATTAAACTGAAGTTCTGCCTGCATGATCTTTTAGGTCATGAAATAAAATATATCCTCTTAATGTTCTATGTGAAATTCCATTTTATATGGTTTAATTAATTTCCCTAAAATGAAAATTGAGGAAGTGTAATAACTGACAGGAAATAAATGTCAGTTTATGAGAGAGAGAGAGAGAGAGAGAGAGAGAGAGAGAGAGAGAGAGAGAG